ACTTTGAAGCTGATTAACTGCATAGCAGCTGTGAGAGAGATGTCTTGCTGCTAAGCCAGCAACTGTGGCAAAACCACTTTCCTCAGATGAACGTGGTTAATTATAACCTAATTGTAATATTAATGCACACCTCTATCCCAAAGTTACCTGCCTCCAAGTTACGACAACCTCTCACTGGGCATGAGCTCTATACGTTTTTTTGACTGTATCTTTGAAAGTGAAGTGAGAGGATTTTACACCAATCAGTAGCAAATATATGCATGAGTAGAGTCACTCAAGCTTACCTAAATACAAAGAAATACTATAAAAGTAAGCCAAGGATGGAGAAAAAGTTAGTGAAGGCTCCATCATAACTGCTGGGATCAGTCAATGGGCTGAACCTGTCTTCTCCCCCATAGGAATGCCTGTTGGGTTAGAAATGCATTCTGCCTGCTGAATATTTTTATTGCGGACTACAGCTTGTCTGTATATTCCTTTGAATGAGTTTTTGCAGTCAAATACTATCACTGACAGATACCATCACCAACAATCCCTGAACATTAACCTGTCATAATTTTATATTTATAAAGAGTATAGTACCATAAACTGTTCCACAAAATTCCAAAGTTTGACTCCTTCATGGCTGCTAGCAGTTGCCAGCAGCAGGTAACATATTAAAATAGGAAGTCCTACTGAGGGGTCATAAAGTGGGAAGACCTGCTGAGGGGTCTCCCTTATGCCTTTGGCCTATTTCCCTGAATGTCAGTCAAACTTCCCTCCAATCCAGCAGGTCTGCTCAACAAAGGGTCCCTGTAACAGGACGCTGACAGACTGGTCAGGCACAAGGATCTCAGCTTTCCTGGGCCACTGACAGACAAATTAATTACTGTGGGTCAAGGAAGTCTTCCCTTTTCACGTGATGGTTCTTCAACCACAAGGTTGTGATTCCTTGCAGAAGCTCTAAGACTGCAGACATTCATGTGCCAGTGGGGCCTGGAGAATGAGCCTACCTAGAAAAGTGTTGGTAGCTACTCTAAACATGATCACTCTTTCACACTCCAATGACAGTACTTACTAAATCTCCCTCACTAAATCTTCCCATCAGTGAAAGCCTAGACACTTTGTTCAGAATACTACTGTGATGGGTGGACTCTGGTTGGATGGCAGGTGCCATCCAACCACAGCCTCTCTATCAATCACTTCCCTCCTCAGCTAGATAAAATATAAAAAAGCTCGTAAGCTGAGATAAGGACAGAGAGACATCAGAGGGAAAAAAGGGAGGGAGAAATTAATTGAATTTATTACCGATAAAAATCAGAATAGGGTAATGAGAAGTAAAACAAGTCTTTAAAACACCTTTCCCCCATCCCTTTCTCCTTCCCAGGAATAATTCTATTCCCCATTCTCTCCCTCCTCCCCACCAGTAGTGCATGAAGATGAGAACAGAAGTTACAGACAGTTCATGCCACTGCTTCCCCCTCAGGAAGAGGAGTCCTTGTGCTGCTGCAGCATGAGATCCCTTCTACAGGAGGCAGTTCTCCATTAATTTCTCCAATATGGGTCCTTCTCACAGGCTGTGGTTCTTCATGAGCTGCTCCAGTGTGAGGTATCTTCCCTGGGATCAGTCCTTCAGGAACTGCTTTAAAGTTAGTCCCCTGTGAGGTCACAAGACCTACCAGGAAACCTGCTCTTCTCGCCACAGGCCCACAGGTCCTTCCAGGACCTGGTCCAACATGGGGCTCTTCCACAAGCTGCAGGTAGATTTGTGCTTCGCTCCTGCAGACCTCCATGCGCTCCAGGAGGACAATCTGCTTCACTATGGCCTGCATCATGGGCTGCAGGAAAATCTCAGGTCCAGTACCTGGAACACCTCCTCCCTCTCCTTCTTAGCTGACTTTGGTGTCTACAGAAGTGTTTCTCTCACATATTCTCAGTCCTCACTTCTCTGGCTGCAATTGCTTCTGCCCAATAACTTTTCCTTCTTAAATATGTTATCCCAGACATGTTACTACCATGGCTGAAGGTCTCAGGCTTGGCCAGTGGCATCCTGGTGCCGGCTGGCATTGTCTCTGCCAGACATGGGGGAAGCTTCCCTCAGCTTCTCAAAGAAGAAGCCATTCCTATAGCCTCCCTGCTACCAAGACCTTGCCGTGCAAACCAATACACATATGAACATCACAGAAGCCTAAATATAAGCAACAATAAGTCCAATCTAAAGTTTTGTTACTAGTCTGCACATTCTTTCTCCTGCACAGGAAAAACATGCCAACTATGGCATAGGCACTCTGTTGAACATTTCCTGCATTCTTCTTTCCTTCTGGTTCTCTTCCCAGATTCAAAGGAGCTTCTGATCATGACCTTATCTAATGAACAATGAACAAGACACAGTTTGCTGAGCTTCTATCCATGCTGAATCACTCTTCCCATTGTGTATAAAATCAGAGTCATTTATGGCAGCACTGATCTAGAGTATCAGCTTCACTCCAGCCTTCTCATTATACAGCACAATTCACAAGTCACCTTGGTGAGTTGTTTCTTTCAATTAGATTGTCTCCTGAAGAACAAGAAGAAAGACCAATAAAGGATGTGTGAAGCAATAATATTAGGATCACCTTCAAATACTTCATTTATAGAGTCACAGAATGGTTTGGGCAGGACGGGACTTCAAAGATCATCTTGCTTCAGCCCCATGCCATGGGGCTAGATCGAGTTACTCCAAGCCTTGTTTAATGTGGCCTTGAATATTCCCAGCGACTCAATTGTATGAGAGGAGAATAAGTAGGACCATGAGTATATAAAATATTTGATCTCTCAAGTAATTCTTCTACTTTGGGAAACTGAGTAGCATATTTTCTCTGGTTACAGAAGCTGCTCCAAACTGCTGACTTGTTTGCTAGCGTTCTTTGATCACAGAAAGTTCAAACAGCTGCAGCTGAGGACAGATTTGTCACTGTCAGACTGGTTTTTCTTTCAGTTCTTGTGGTCTTATGACTTAAGCTGCTTCTGTAGAGACTACCAAATCCGAGCACATGTGGTATGGACTATGCTGGTAAACCATACCGGTGTTTATGAACCAATATGATGACAAGAACAGTACAAGTTACATTCTTTTGTTCGTTCCCTACACTAATAACTGCTTGAAATTCTTCTTTTCTATGTCAGAATATTTCCTTCACACTCCACCACCCAGTTCTGCTAGCGCTCTTCACAAACTTGGCGTTACATTTAGTCCATTTCAAACTGATAATCTGGGACACAGAACAAAAAGGAAATTTGTGTCCTGAAATTTGGCCTTTAAATTTTAGAAAGACAAGTCAAATACTGCCACCCAGATTCAGTTTTTCTGAACCTGCATTGCATTTGGCTAAGCTTCAGTATTTGTACAGGAACATGCACTCAGATACACAAATATAGCAGTGTATTTCTGTTCCTACTTCCATATTCAAGTTTATGGAAATTCCGTTTTGAAAAATGCTGTCTCTCCTTTGTGACATCCTTCTGTCTATTGGCACAGCATTTTCTCCCAGCTTGATTTATACACTATGCCGACGGTTGTTTATCATGGCCACAATGTGTGACAGGTCCAAACTTTTCATCATAACCTCCATGAACTCCTCATCTTTCCTTGCTCCCTCCACAAATTCATCCAGAGAAAGTTCACCTGTGTCAGACACAAATAAAGGGCATCAGAATCCACATCTGACAGGAAAAGTACAGTAATCTAACTTTAGAGACCACTTACTATATAGGCACTGTTATAAGGCACTGTCCTAAAGACCTCAGAGAGTCTTCTTAAGCTTTTATGAAACATCCCCAGTACTCAGACAACGCCTGCTTCCTTTTTTTCCCCCATACAAGGGAAGAGGTACATAAGAAAGAACAATAGAAGTGGGTAGCTAAGGAGTGGGATCATAGCATTCTTTTTGGCTCAAAAAAACCTGTCGTAATACTAACCTGCCCTATATTTGCTGGTTTTCAAGGATAAAGGAACTGACAGAAGGAGGCTGTGACAGATAGAAACAAATTTTTTTATGTCCTAGGCCAAAAACCCCTTGTACAGAGAAGCAGCTCAGCAGAGTTATTCTGGAATAACAAAAGAGCCTGTCAGGAAGTACCTGAAGTAGCAAGGAAAGAGATACCTCTCGGGGACATACAGGGACCACAGTGACACTTGACCAACCTTTGACTGAGCACTTCATGTTCTTGCTGTACTGCCCACAGCAGACCCAGTGAAGAAACTCTGAACTTCAACATTAAATTGCAGTTCTTCCTTTCCATACTGAAGTACTTAGCAGCAGCTGGGGCCATTTGATAATATTTCCCACTTCTAACTGGCATGAGCTACACAGCAACATACAAAAAGGAAAACAAAACACCACTCCAAAACCCCACTACGAAACTCATGTGGACAGAACAAAGCTGAAACCAGTACAGGGAACAAATCCTGTCACACTGATTATGTATAATGCCAGGAGAAAAATCGGTTTTGGTCCATGGAGAACACATTACTGGCTGAGAATGCAAATAGAAATAAAATGTGAAGTGAAGAGGCCTAAAGTTCAACCAAGAAAGGAAAAAATTTATGTTACTCTGTAGAAGAGACTGTCTGAGCTGGATGACTAAGGCAGGAACCTTACCGTCGCCATTGACATCAATCCTGTTGAAGACTCGGTTGGTGAACTCTTCTGCACTAGTTTCATGGTCACCACCATTAATAGCTCGAATAGCCTAAAATAAAAGAGGAAGAGTAAGCAGCTGACTGACAACTCCCAGACTGATTCCACATATCAGCATTGATTCAGAATAAGACACTCATGTGTGGTACCTTCCCCACACAAATGAACCAGTACCACAGGAAAACAAAGCACAAATCATCAGGCCTTATGGATGGCACTGAAGGGTGTGAAGGGAGCGTGGCTCTGGAGCACAGAATGAGCAGCAAAACCCAGAGGACTGGCCTAATTCTGCTTAGGTACAGTTTAGGTGCTGCAGAAATGGCAGAATCAGAATCCACCTAATTGGTCCACTTTGTCCCACTTTGTGACCCTATGGTACACCAAGCCTCAGAAACACTGTCAAACACCTTCCACAAATGACATTATGAAATTCCTTTGTTATATGCTGTGGTAATTTATTTCTATTCTTACTTTCACAATTTTTATTTACATACTTCTTCCTGTGTGTTTGGCTTCTCCCTAAAGCTCACTGGAAATTCATTTTCTTCTTCAGAAACTTTAAGCCTTATCCACTTCTGTTTGCTACAATTCTTCTTATTCATAACTACATAGCGCAGAGTTCTCTTTTCTTTCAATGCTAATTATTTCCTTTGTTTAAGGATTTCCACGAAATATGTGATTTCAGAGCCTTTATACTGATTCTAAGACTATTCATTTTCTAGTTTTTACCCTTTGATATTTGGTCATTTTATTCATTCTTTTTCAAATGCTATTTTACTGAAACTTATATAACTTCAGCAATTTCTTAAGGTTACCAAAAAAGACACTGAACTACATCCAAAAAAGACAAAGGACAATAAATTTCTTGCCACCAGTTGTTGCCCATAGGATTAGTTTCTCAAGAGCTCTGTGTTAACTATTGCTATCTGTTGCTTCACTGTAATGTTTGAGTATTTCTATTTAAAGCTACTAGTAGGAGGCTTTACATTACTGCAGTTATTGGTCAGGTCTCTTTGATACCCAGCTCTAAAATTCTTATACAGATGAGAATGCATTATTAACATCTTATTAGTGCTTTATCAAATCAATTTTATGACATTTCATATTCAGAAATGCTATTTATTGAGGGTCATTGAATCTTTTCTGCAATTACCTTGGTAATTTCCCATTATCTGCAAAATAATATGAATTTGCAGCACAATTAATTCTGAGATATTTATAGTGATCTTTATGCCCGTAATCCCAACCCCATTCACAATAGCTATTTGCATACAATCCTTTCAAGTCTCAATCCTTTTTCTTCAGGCTATTCGTCAGAATCAGAAATGTTTTATTATGTTGATATTTAGAAGCTGATTCTAAAAAGCAAACTGGGCGTGGCTCTCCAACTTCTCACGGGGAAAAGGACATATGAAGGACACACTGTAGAGACAGCAACTGAGAGTCACAGGATCTGAAACCTTGGAAAGTGCAATTTAGGTCACAGGCAGCTAAAACAATTTTATGGTTAGCTATGCTGTAACATAAGATGTGGTGATAAAGAGTCTAAGTCTGCTTATTGCATTATACGGTGGTGGGGAATTCTGCTTAGAGAAGGAATGCTTTTAAGGGTCTCATCCATGATCATCCATATGGGAAACAGCAAAGGTCTTACTTGTGTGATTTGTCTTTGAGGAAAGAGGCAAGAACATGACCCCTGGAGATTCACCTTGATGATGTTGAGCAGTTCATGTCGATCAATGCAGCCATTGCCATCTACATCATAGAGCTTGAAATACCACCGCAATTTCTGCTCCATCTTCCCTCGGAGAACGAGGCTGAGGGCAGCCACATATTCCATGAAATCAATATATCCATCCTGTCAGAAAAAAAACCGCCCAAATTGTGACAGGAGTAAATTGAGGGAGTTAATGCACTGGAGTTGTTTCACCTTATTGCTCTTTAGATTCACAGCTGAAAGAGAAAGGCCAACAAGTGGCACAGAGACTTAGGAAAAATCTTTAGTGCACAGACACATGTTATTTCTCTAGCCACCAAATACCTGGGTTCCTAAATTTATGATCTAGTACATAGAGCCTCCCCTCTGCTCACCACCTGCAGTGAGGGAACCTGGTTGTCAGCATGAACAAAGCCCCCTCTGTACACCAAAGCTGACTGTCTTTGGCCTGCTGGGGGAGAATATTGAGCCCAGCCTATGGGCTGCAGGTTTTCTGTACTAGTCTACTCTGCCTTTGTGGGAAACTGCTATTCCACTAAGCCATAGATCTCTTCTCCATTCTGTGGAAAATAATGTGACTGGGAATATTTTGTAAAATACACAGAGCGTGATTTGATCACTGAAAAAAATGTTCAGTATTTAGGTTTTTAATATTTCATTTCTTGACTCTACAAAGAAAGTCAAAAAGCTCTTGTTTGTTCTGCAAGAAAAACGTCAGTTAGTAAAGGTTCATCAGCCCTAGATTTAAAGCTGACTAAAATGTTAAAAACAAACTACAAATAAAATACACATCTAGGTCAAAGATTCTGAATAACAATAATTATTCAAGAAATAACAGAGGAAAAAATGTAAACTTTCAATTATTAACATATTTAGTCAAAGTCAGATGCCTTTCTGAAATGGATGCAAATAAACATATATAAAAGGTGAATGTAGGTGAACCAGCAGACCGCTGCTGTTTTGCAGCAAGGATCACCATGTTTAAAATACTCATTCAGGGTGGGAAGAAGGGTTGACAGGCTGAGAGAGTTATGGCAGGTCAGCCTGGAGAACAGAAAGTTCCAGGGACACTTTGGTGCCTCTTCCAGTACTTAAAGGGGGCTTAGAAAAAGGCTAGAGGGGTACTTTGGACAAGATCGTGTGGTGACACCCGTGTGGGGCAGCTGGGACACCTGCAGGTCAGTGGTCCTACTTAGCAAGTTCCCTGTAGGGGCCCCACATGTTCCTCACACCCACACCACAGTGTTCCAGCCTCAGTCCCTGGAGGAGAAGCCTTAGTCCCTGGCCCAGTCAGTGCCCAGCTACTGGCACAGCCTGTCTGGGGGGCTGCAGTAGCACGAGGGTACAGATGTGCCCCTCAGGGGTCCCATGTCTTCCTGCCATTCAACGTTGGGCAGGAGGGGATGACAGGGGACTTTCAGCCTGAGTAGCAGCAGCCACCAAGCAGAACAGTGATGGCTTTGTGTTACAGAAGGATTTGCAGGCTCCGGCCCATGGCCTCTGACCACAGCTCCGTGACTTCTGCTGCTGACACATCCCATGTAAGGGGGTTCACTCCAGGCAGGGGAAGGGATGGGTACCGAGCTGCTGGGGACTCATTCCCCTCTATGCCCACAGCTCAGGGAACAGGCATGGTGCTGCAGGAGTCCAAGGTCCACCTCATGGACACGGAGCTCTGCAACAGCAGCCCATGGTATGCCGGGGCCGTTCACCCCCGCAACCTGTGTGCTGGGTACCCACAGGGTGGCATTGACACCTGCCAGGTAGGAGGCTGTGATGAGTCCCTGAGCCCCTGGCAGCGCAGGGACCCCCTCATCCTCCACACACAGCACAGCCTGTCCCCTGTCCACCCCTTCCCTCCCCACCTGCCTGTGGGTCCCTGTCCGATGTCCCCTTGTCCCCAAGGCCTGTTCCTGCCCACAAAGCCCATTCAGCGGCCCCAGCAGACCCAAAGTGTGGATGTGACCCTGGAACATCTGTCCTGTGCACATCTGGGACCCAGTGTGCAGAGATGGGAGAGCCCCCCACCTGTGCTGGGAATGTGCCGGGAATGTGGACCTGGCAGGGATTGGGAGAGAGGAGCCAGCCCTGGGACTGGGGGAGAGCAGGCAGACCCGGGGCTGGCAGCAGCCCCCACAGTCCCTGAGCCATCTCTCCTGGCACAGGGGGACAGCGGGGGTCCCCTCGTCTGCAAGGACAATGACGCTGACTACTACTGGCTGGTGGGATTGAACAGCTGGGGAAGAGGCTGTGACAGAGCCAGGCACCCCGGGATCTACACCTCCACTCAGCACTTCTACAACTGGATCCTGCTCCAGACGGGCCTGAGCCCAGCAGAAAGAGCTGGTCCAGCACCAGAGCCAGTTGTCACCTCGGCCCCCGAGGAGGAGCCTGAGGAAGCAGAGGAAGCAGAGGAAGACATCAACTTGACCCCTGAGTACAGCCAGAGACCAGCAGTGACATCCTCGGGCACGTCACTGCCCATGGCATTCCCACACCAGTTTCTGGTGCAATTCCGGAATCTGCTGCAGGAGTTCCTGCAGTTTCAGAAGGACAAAAAAGCCTGAGCAGTAGCAGCAGGATGAGGAGGCTCCAGGGCTACCGTGGGTCACGGCAGTTCCTGCTGGGCCAAAGGTAGCCTTGGGGCCAGAGGCTTCTCTGTCCTGCCCACGCTGCTGCGCTGCAGCCACAGCGATGCTGACGTGACTGAGGTGTTGAAGTAAAGTTTCTGTGTTCACCATTAACTGTGTTTTCAGCCCTGCTCAGTGCACTGGCAGGCCAACAGAGTCCCTGCTCTGTCCATCTGCTGTGTTGTTCACATTCACTCTTCAGCCTGGAGAGGGCTCCAGGGAAACCTCAGTACCCCTTGCCGTGCCTGAAGCAGGTTATAATAGTGGGGGAGAGCAGCATTTTGCATGGGCATGCCATGACAGGACAAGGAAGAATGGATTAAATCTAGAGGAGGGGAGATTGGGATGGTGGTGGGAAGGAGTTTTTACTCTGGGGGTGATGAGGCCCTGGCCCATGAAGTGTCCAAGGCCAGGTTGGACAGGGCTTGGAGCAACATGGGATAATGGCAGGTGTCCCTGCCCATGGAAGGTGGTAGAATGAGATGACAGATGACCCTTACGGTCCCTTCCAACACAAAGCATTCTATAATGCTACAATTGCAATTTATAAAAGAAGACTAATGAAAATTTATCCTCTTTGTCATCATCTAAGTCTTCAAAATCTGAAGGTCCAGAGGGCAGAAGATTCCATCCATCATGTCTGTATTATGACAGGGTGGATTTTCCTCTAAGTGCTCTTGCTCCTTGCCCTTGTTCATAAAAGGATCTTAGATTAAGTGACTGTTAACAGACTAAGATTCAGTGATGTAGGCTATCGCCACTAATTGCACACTTTTACCTGAGATCACTATCACTTTATTTAAACAACAGCTTTTCTGACCAAATTTGAATTTGAGAACCTTCTTATAACATTGTTTACTGCTTAGCACAGGGCTCACAGGAGAACTCTAGAATGCACAACATCCTTGAATAAATTTTAAATTCCTTGAACATCCCAAGAAGGGAGAGACGTGAAGTGACAGAAAGACTTGTGCAAAAGCTGTAAAGGTTTTGCTTTACCTTATGAAACAGTTTCTCATCACTATTATCATCCTGGGCACAGAGGACTTTGGGATGAGAAAAGATATTCTCTGAGGTCTACAGCTATTTACAGTCATTACATCCACCACAAGACGGCAGCTACCCTAATGGAGCCTGTCTGCTGCTCTGCTTAAGAATTTTATAATATTCCTAACCATTCCTAAACTCCTAATGCTGTCTCACATGTCCAAAATAACATTCTTTGTTGGTCCCTAAGCTTTCCTTCTTCAAAACTAACTCTGTGATTTCCCACCTAGTTGTCGTGCCTCTGTGACTGGATCCTCCTTGACTCCATTTCAGAACCTTGGAACAGAGAGTAAAGCTGAAATTTCCCAGGATGCTATAAATCCAGATTTCTTTGTCATTAAGAATACAGGCCTGCAAGCATAGGCTGAAATACATATGGATAAAAAGCAGGCAAAAGTGAGGGCCATTGCACGCTTAAAGGAATTACGGGGGCTACTGTTTTCTACCAGCAGTCACCCATCACAGTGAGGAACTGCCCACCCCCTCACTCCAGCTTCATGCTGTACCTACCAGCACCAAGGAGAGCCACAGAAGTTGTTTGCTCATGCAGTGTTAATTTCAACTGCCAAATACCTGGAAATTACTCCTCTGTGAATACTATAATGATTTCTATTGTGTCTGATTGCTGTGGTCTCCATGATCTCATACAGCTATATTTTTGAATAAGAAGAACATGTAAGAAGAATTATTACATTAGCATTTTGCTAGTTAAACAAGGCCAAGTCCAATAATTGGCAATAAGGAATTTTCAAAATTCAAAGATTAACTTGCTCAAGGTAGTTAGATAATCAGGTTTACTTATGTTTATGTAATCTATGTTATTACCTGTACACATTCATTTGCTCCTTGCATTTAGCTACTTTACATAAGCATCCCTTGGCAGCTTTCCCCACCAGTGTTTGCAAAAGAAAATGTTTGCAAGAGAATATTTGTGTTCTTTATGTTTGTAAGAGAAAGACAAAGACTCTGAAAATGCAGGAGTTGGATCACTTCTAAGCAGCATGAGATCACTTCTAAGCAGCATAATTCCTTGCCAGAGAACTCACCTTGTTCATATCAAATGTGCGGAACATCTGCTCAATGTACTTATTGGCCTCTGGATCCAGCCCTCGAAGCCCAAAGAACTGCTTAAATTCATGCTCTGTCAGCTGTCCAGAAGGACACTCCGTCATGAATTTCTTGTACCAGTGGTGGATCTCAACAGCTTGTAGATCATCCACGGTGGAGCTGCTGTTGTTGCCCATATGTATCTGTGGTCACAAGGATGATGCTATAGGAATGATCCTCTTCCTCCTGTGGCTCTCACAGCACTGCCCGTTTGCTCCTGTCCACCAATGTCAGTTACGTGAGGGATCTAGCCTTCCGCAAGCCAATTATAAATTTTAATCTTCTTAGAGGCTGATCCACAAACCAGAAAGTTTCAATGATACAAACAGTCTTCTTAGAATGGAAAGGAGATGCAAGATAATCTAGCAAATCGCTGCTATTTTAGGAGCTAAAGCAGAAAGGGTGAGAAGGTTAATCAGACACTGGCATTGGGAGCTATATTGGTTTGGTATCCTATTTTTAATGTTGATATAATTATATGTGAAGATAAGAGAAAATGCCCACAAGATGTGGGCTGTGAGGTTAAGTAAAGATCTGCTCCTCTAAGTGGATTTGAGAGTCTGTTTTCGCAAATAGACTTGTTGAATAACGGAGTGTGTAGGACCAGAAAGTGTTACAGAAGTGGCCCAGTACAAGAGTGAGGTTATGTGGGAAAAAGCACACATAAGGAGCACAGAGGAACAATGCAGGGGGACACAAATAATCCCCTGGTTTGGCAAATCCAAGAACCATCACAGAAGTGCAGTCAACCCATGAAAGGCTCAACTGCACAAAGGGGAAGGAGCAGAGAGACAACCATAGGCTGGGGAACACAAATTACCCAGTAAGAGAAATAAAGGCCCTGTCCCAGCTCCTTCTAAATCTGTCGCAGGGGAGCCACCAGTCCCATGGGCCTAGAGGTGGCACCCATCATGATGAGTCAGTAGGAGAGGTTGCAGAGGACTCTACAAACTGTGTACTGCCTAGGGACATGGAAAACACTGTGTGGTCCAGGGCAAGAGCATCTGGGGACAAGACTCACAACAGGATGTTTAGGAGTGGAAAAGAAGATGGGGAAAGGGATGCGTCTAGGCGGCATGGGAATGAACAAGCATGAGAAAATGGAGGCAAGGGGCTGGTTGCATGTAGAATGGTGCTAATCAGTATGAATGTGGATCCATGCCTTGGGCCTGGTCATCACAATCTTTCTTGTCTTCTAACACTCCTACCTCCTTTTTTATTTTCTGGCTGCACAGTGCTGTGCTCTGGGCATGTATGTGCATGGGGACTTAAGTGCCCACAACTGGATTGAGTGAGATCATGTCAATCTATGATCACTAGTAAATATCAAGCCAGACTAGTCAGCAAACAGGCCAAATAGTTCATGAAACAGGTGTGTGTGTCTCTGTTAGTGAGACCACTGGAGTAGCTGACTATTAGACTGAGGGTGTAGGGTTGAGGGTGACCCACCTGTCTGTGTTTCTCTGCATCCTGAGCACCCCATCACATGCACTCGAGAGGCACCCCTGTGTGTGTCCGTTTGCAGGTCGTTGTGTGCCATGGAATCTGTATTGGTGGCTGTGGCAGGGTTGTGCACCTCGCAGGCTCCGGCATGTCCAGGTGCCAGCAGCTGGGGAGACCAGGCATCAAGAGGCAGCTGCTGGGTAGGCTGGATGTCTAAGCACACGCTCTCTCTGTGCTTGCCATTGATGGACCTTCAGAATCACAGAATAGTTTTGGTTGAAGAGTCCTTAAAATCATCTAATTACAGCCCTTGCCGTGGGCAGAAGCACCTTCCCCTAAAGCAGGTAACTGGAGGCTAGGCTCCCTTGCTGCCCGTGCTACTTTTGATGGAGCTCAGGCTGCAGTCGGCTGGGAGTGCACATTACCAGCCCATATCCAGTTTTGCATTCCCCAAGACCCCCAAGGCCTTCTCCACAGGACTGCTCCCAATTCACTCATCACTCAGCCCGTACCCGTGTTGGGGATTGCACCTGGCCTTGTCAAACTCCATGAGGTTGGCATGGGCCCTTCTCTCTAGCCTGTCCAGATCCTTCTGGATGCCCTAGCCCTTCCCTATAGAGAATCAGTCACACCACTTAACATACACATTTAAAGCCAAAACTTATTTTTAGTACAATAGAAATTTTAACAATCTGATTTGAGAGTCATAATAAATCTACATCTAATTACAGAAAAGCAAAGAAAAATAATGTAGGTCAAGTACTTATATACAAGAAAAAAGCTGCACTAGTAGCAATAATCCAATTAAAATTGCAACACATGCACTTTGTTTCTGTGCTTTCTCTGATGTTACGCTGACCTGCCTGCTGCTCCTCTGGATATTAAGATCTGTGGTTCACTCGGATGTTTGCAGAGGAGGAGGGGAGAGTCATGGAAAGTTGTCAGCATCTGGGTCCTTCACTGGGAGAAATGTGATGTTCTTATGAATGGTTTCCTCATCTTATCTTCCTTTTTCTTTTTTTTTTTTTTTCCCTCTCTTTTCTTCCACTTAGACTCACAAAGGTACATGTTAGAGTTGCAAATATCTCATTCTACCTAGAATAACTGATTGCTATTACTACCAATATAAGGCCATGGTTGTACCACGCAAAGATAGGTAAGTAAAACAAATTAGCCATAGATATCTGGAGAATTTGCTCTCACAGCTAAAGTGAAGCGAACAAAGTGAACAAAGCTGCAGGCACGGCATGAAAAATTCAGAGCACACCTGGAAAGCTTTGGTCCTGAGGCATGTGAAGTAGGGACAGAGCCCGTGGCCATAGCAGGTCATTGGCACACTACTGGGGCCATCAGAAATAGGAATACAGTGCATCTGTGTGCACAGTAAGGGTGGCCAGGAGGCAAGGACACTGCGCTGCCCAGGCCCCCTGAAATCTTGCCCCACCTCTGGCTGGGGCCAACCTCTGTACCAGTACAGACCAGGAAGGGAATGGATCAAGAGTTCTGAGACGGAAAACAAGACTGGACAGGGACTGGCAGCGCGCACATCCCCAGCAGCACACGCAGCAGGTGAGGGGGAGAATTCTGTCCCTCTGCCCCACTCAGGTGAGACCCCACTTGCAGAGCATTCTCCCGTCCTGGAACCCTCAGAACAAGACACATTTGGAGCTGCCGAAGCAGGTGCAGAGGAGGCCACGGAGCTGCTGCAAGGGCTGGAGTCCCTCTGCTCCCCTGGAGACGGGCTGGCAGAGCTGGGGTGTTCAGCCTGGAGAACAGAAGGCTCCGGAGACAACTTATTGCGGCCTATCAGAATATAAAAATATTTTTATGTCAAGAACTGTAGTACCAGAGCAAGGGACAACAGTGCCCATTTGCACGAGCGCAGCCTCGGCTTGCACATCTCCGGAAGCTCTCAAGGCCGGGTTGAACGGAGCTCGGAGCACCCCGGCCTGGTGGGACGTGCCTATGGCAGGGGGGTGGGACTGGAGCATCCTTAAAGGGACGTTCCGACCGAACCACCGGACAGCGCCTCCGGCGGCGCCCGCCGCGGAACGAGCGGCAGCGCGAGCCTGCGCGGCAGCGCGAGCCTGCGCGGCCCCGCCTCCCCGAGACGCCGCGCCCCCCGAGGCCCCGCCCCCGCGGCCCCTGCCCGTCTCCCGTCGCACACGGGCCAGCGCGAGCTTCCGTCTCACCAACACCGCTTGTCCGGCCCGAAACGCCGCAGCTGATTGGTCGCTGCCTTGTTATTGGGCGGGAACCGACAGCGTCCTCGGGATTGGTCACTTTGTGCCATGTTGCAGGACAACCATGGCGCCGAGGCAGCTGCTCCGTCGGGATTGCCTGGCCGTCACGTCTATCTTTCATCCGCCGCAGTTAATTGGTATCTCTGCGCCGGGGGCGGGGCCCCGCCGGAGGCGGAAGTGGCGGCGGCGCGTTCCGGTGCTGAGGTGGCGCGGTGGAGCGGTTCGGCGGCAGCTCCTCGGCGGGTTAGAGCCGCTCCTCGGTGCTGACCCCCCCGCCGTGCTGCAGGTCAGTGCCTCCTCCCGCCCTGGGTGCTCTCCGCCTGCCCTGTCCGCACCGCGGACTCTGCCGCCCAGCTCTCGGCGGCAGTCGCTGGTCGGGCTCCTTTCGTGTCCATGCGGGGCCGGAACGGGTTGGCAGCTCCCCGGGGCCCGGGCCGTAAGGGGCGGTGGGCCGGGGGGGGCCTCTCCTCTCGCTCTGGGCTTTGCGTCCCGGCCCAGTCCCCCCACGCCGGTGGGACGCTGCCGGCGATGCCCCCAGGTACCGGGAGCGCAGCCCCACGCGGGGAGCTTCGCGCTCCGCGGGGCCCGCCGTAGGCCTCCGGCCCGGTAAAGCTGCGGGGCTGCTGGGGCCCGTCGGCGCTGCCCGCCATCCCCGTGGCGGCAGGAACTGAAGCTCCGGGAGCCAGCACGGCGCTCTAGTGCTTCCCGTCGCTCCCGGCTTTTCTTGGAACCCCTCCGCACAGCGTGAGAAGTGTGGCCCAGGGCTTGTGAACAGCAGCAGTGCTTTTAATGCGTGTGTGATTTTAAACGAAGGGAAATGCAAGGAATTAACTTCATTTATGTATAATAAACTTATAGTATAATAAATTAGGGAAGAACATTGTCAAGTCTTTCTTTGCTGTGGCTGATACCTAGGGATAGAAATGCGCTGCTTACTGCAGGCTGTGCAGACTAGCAGTGGGCTTCGACTGTTTGCGTCAGGGATGTGTATTTCAGAGAAAGGGAGCCTCCTCCAGATCACTGCTGATCTGTAGTTCCAAAGTCTCCCCAGCAAAAGTTCATTAGTCATAGGAATGCTGAGCAAAAGTAGGGGATGTAAAGGATCCTGGCTCACATCCTGAGCACTGTGAGGTTCCTTGTGTCCTGCTGTTCATTACAGAGATGGGAATCCATATGCCAGTGTGAGCCTGGGAGAGCACCAGTCTTGTCTCTGAAAGCACTGTTTGCTTTACTGGGGTGAGGCAGTGGAACAACGAATAACCTCTGTCCTTTCATGTTTGGCATTGTATAACACCAGGATATTCTTGCCACAAGTCCTTGAGGCTAATGCACAGGACAGCCACTGCCTTCTGTGCCTTCTCCACTGCCTTGGAGATATTCAGAAGCTACCTGCACAGCTTCTGTTTGAGTAGGGAGCTTAGACCAGATGACCTCCTAACTTCAGCCAGTCTGTGGTTCTTTGATAAGATTCTCCTCGAGCCTTTTATTTATTCATTTGTGTTTATTTATTATTTATGTTGTCCTCAACTGAATTTTTTCCAACAAGTTCCCACCTCTTGTTCTGGGGTGCCCGGAACAGCACACATTACTCTGGACATGGCCTCCCCCATGCCTGGTGGAGAGGATCACCTTCCTCCTGCTGCAGCCCAGGATGCTGCTGCTGGCCTCTGTCACAAGGGTGCATTGATGGCATAGGTCAGTTGTCCACCGCAATCCCCAGCGTTTCTCTACAGTGCTGCTTTCAGAGATGTGATCCGAGGGATGCTGTCTAGAGCAGTGGCCCACCTAGGCCCGTGTTTTCCCTGTTTTCTCTACACAGACAGCAACCTGTTGCTGTTTACAGAATTGTGGAATCACTGTTTCTTTTCCATTCACATCACTTGCCATATTTGACTGACCTGAGAATGTAAATTAAAAAATAATTCAAAAGACACGAATCTCTAAGACTGGCATTCAGGTTGTTAATGTCCACATCCGTGCAAATAGGTGCAGATGGTTCCTCTGTTTGCATTTTTAAGGAGGTCAGTTGTGAGCCAAACCCAGCAGGGCTTACTAGCTTGAGGGCGGTGTTAGGTTAATGTGGCCAACCTGGACAAAGGCCAAGGAGTATTTTCTCAATCCAGGTATGCATGCCTGAAATTATAGTGCTTGTAGCGTGCAGTTATGTGCTGAGGCCCTTGCCTAGATTCTGCTTTTTTTTCGTATTTCTAATACCACTTCTAATAATTAACCTATTGGTTCTCTCAGTCCCAGCCACGTATTTTGCATTTCTGACTTTAGTAGGCTGTGGCCTAATGCTCAGTAGGAAGATCCGATCCATCCTCTTCAAGTGTTGGAGACAGTTAGAAAGAGGCGTTCTTGCCTTTGGATGGCTCTTTTCTATAATGCACCATTGCCAAGACAGCAGGTTTGGTTCCCCATTGCAGCATTGTGGGAGTGATTGTTTACAAAACTATAAATACTTTATTATTCTTATGATGGATTCCAGACATTCCAGCTCTCCACGTGAGTATCTCATATTATCGCGTTGGTGAGCAACTGATGTTGTCAGAAGAAATCTCTCTAGCAGGAGTTGTAAAGCTGTACTGTTCTGGAATTCCATGCCTCACGTCTTGCCCAGGGCTAGCTGAGAAGCGAGCAAAGCACCAGGACTTGTTTTGGTGACTGCTGTGTTGTTGCAGTACAAGAACAATCCTGGCATTTTGACTGTGCTTCTGGAGGAGTTGCATCCCTTTGAGCTCTTTGCAGGAGCCTGTCTGAGGCCTGGCCTCTTGCTGCATGTCTTTTTGCTACGCTAACTGCTGCTGGAGTGTTTTATTCCTTCAGCTGAAGAGACTAAGCTCATCTATGCAGTGTGAAAAACCAGGGCATGTCTGCAAATCCATGTTCCCAAACAGAGCAGACTTGTCACTTTTCATGTGTATTGCCAGTGACTGACTAACAGTCCTGGAATGCGCTGTGTAGGATATGAAGGATGGGCTTATTTCTTTATTAGTGGATAATTTATTTTTTGTTGTTCTTTTTTTGCTTCTCTCTCCGTCAAAAGTCTTGGTTCATGCAACCTGTGAGTACTCTAGAAATAATAAGGTATGGCAAGAAAGACCAGTGTGTGACTGCTCTGCTTTGGAAACATTACTATTGAATCAGCAGACCCATGAGCTCCTTGGAGTACAAAGCAGGTTAGTATTGATATGCTCTTTTCTGCTATTGATGCATGGCAGTGTGCATTGTCATGTTTTCTACTTCTACAAAATCGGGTGACTGCTACAGATGAATAATGCGCTGCTCCTTTCCAGTGTCAATATTTTCACACATTTAAGTGGCAATCTAAGACCAAAGATTTGCTTAGTAAGACAAGGAGGTCAGGAACGAGTGGATCTGTGTAGCCAGCTTCAGGAGCCTGCTTCTAGTGAGGCAGACACATCATATTAAAAGATTCCATTTGATGGAGATAATGTAAACTTGATCTTATAGCTAATGTGAGTTTGCCTAGTTTCAACTTGCAATACTGGAGCTGCTGTAATTGTACAAATTATTTTGTCACTTAGAGGCATGGACAGTTCTGTGGCCTTTGTGCTCAGAGATGTCAAATGTCACAGATGACCTCTTTTTATACAACACTAGAATGATGATTCTGTGATTCTTAAGGGACTTTGGGAGTTCAGTTGGTCAAATCCTTTGCTCTTAGTGTGTCTAACATCAAAAATGAGATCAGATTGCTATGAGCCTAATACAGTATTTTAACTTCTTCCCTGTGCTTTTTTTTCTGATTGAAATTGCCTATGCTGCGACTTTTGGCCTCTGCCTCGTGTCCATCCTAGGTGGACCTTGTAAAAGGTGTGTGGCTCTGTCTTTAGCTACCTTATGGGTGGTTGTAGGGAGGACAGCAATTGTATCCTACTCCTCACCTGCTCTTCTCGGGGCTGAGCAAGCCCAGCTCTCTTGTACTCCACATGCCTTGTACAGCAAACCCCACTCATCCTGGGGGCTCTCTGCTGTACTTGATTCACTGTTTTGAAAGTGGGTACTCTACTTCAAATGTAGTCTTATAGGTGTGAATGGAGAGGAATAATCGCTTTTCACAAGCTGCTGCCTGCAGTCCTCCCAGTACAGCTCAGTGTACACCTGACCTTGGCTGTGAGCACACTGGTGGCTTGTGCCAGGCTTGGCCATCAGCACTTGTAGCTTGTCTTCTGCAACACAGTTGTACAGCCAGTTGCTCCTCAGCCTGTGCCACTCATGCTTTTCCCATTCCAGGCATAGGAAAGGCATTCTACCTTTCCTGAACTTCACGATGTTTCTATCCATCTGTTTATCCAGCCTGTTGTTATCCTCCTGATTGGCAGCTCTATACAAAGGCTCATTTGAATTTGGTGAATTTAGTGACGTCTCAGTTAATAATAGAGAATTTAATTTACTGCTCTCCCCAAGTTATATGTTGCTGGCTGGTACTGCTGCATGTTTTTTTGTTCTTCACTTCCACTTGCTGGATTAGTTTGGCTCCTGAATTTCAAGGAAATGAAAGAAGGTATACTAAGAAGCATCCAGTGAATCTATGTCCTCTCCAGGCTATTCCCCTATGTTGAGGTCCTGTCCTGTATGTGACATGCAGAGGTCTCATCATCTCTCTAATGTGACACATCTGTATCTGTTTAGCAAACATCAAGGCTCAGTCCATTATTTCCACTACTTATAAGCAGAAAGCTGATTTTAAGTTACAGGCTATACAGAGAAATGACTTCATTTAACAATCCCCTTTCTTTTCAGTAAGCTGAACAGATTGTGGTTCTGTAATGTCATTGTTAAGAAAGATCAAGAGTGAACTATGAAGATGACTTAGCATCTGGCATAAAAGTGTATTTTTCAATCATATGTGTGGAGCAGTGAAGGAATCGTCATGTGTCTTGACACCAGCATATCCTCTGCTTTAATAATCAGTGGGTCTGGCTGCTCCTGTTAACGTGACCATTTCTTTTTTTCCTGAGGTTTTACTTTGGCTTTTCTCTTTTAGCAAAGGAGACAAATTCCTACAAGCCTGGTCACCAACTGCTGTAACATTAGAGTTCAGCATAAAGGAGCTTATTCTTCAT